CCATCTCTCCCACCTGCTCAGAGTCTATCACCTGTTTGATATGGTTACTGAATCCTATTTACAATAATTTCTTGCCAAGTAATCCTTGTCTCTAGGGGAAGACAGACAGGGAATGTATAACGATTTTGGATTCTTTCTAACAATTCTTAAATCAGTTTTGTGTCATTTTCAAAAAAAGAAGCCCTATAAAGTATATAATTATGATGGATAGTTAGGAAGTTGCCAGAGTAATAATTTGGAAATTACTCAGCTATAAATGATAATGGAAGGAAACCAATTCCAGTCTGAAGATTTTGTTTTAAGTTCTCAATTACATGCTATTTTTGTCCTCTCCACAGCTCACAGAACAAAGCATCACACACATGTTCATCAACATTCCATAAAAGGACGTCTGGCAACCTCCGATGGTGTGATCCCTCCATTCTTTGACTTCTGGTTTTAGCTGCAAATAATTACATATGTAATTATTTCACAGCCTATAAAAGCCTTTTATTCTAACAATTGAACATCTGGAGCATTGGTTTCTTCTTCAATAAAAATTAATCCTTATTTTCCATCACTCCATTAAAGAATAAATGGAAGTATTAATACATTCATCAAAAAACAGGTCATATTTTATTATACTCTAGAAACAGAATTCAAATATTAACAAAATGATGTCAGTTCTGATTCAAGTTCATTAATGTAAATATTAAAAACTTAAATCAATGTGGGGGGGGGTTCAAACACTATTTTCAAAGGCACTTTGGTAGTTGACTTGGCAATTTTGTAATTTTATAAAAAGAGAATAGAAAACTCCAACACATGCCCCATTTAAGTTCATATATGATGAATCTGAGGAAATGTTGTATTGCCTGCTTCAGTGCTATAGCATATATAGTCCTGATATGATAGCTGATTGGAAGTAATGAATTTCAGTGGAGGACATTCAGCCGACTGCTAATATTAGCATATCGTTTGGAACTGTGAAACTGCAATGTAGGTAACTGATTAGTCAGAAAAAATCAAAATTAATGCAAATGGTTATAACAGGACATTTTGCATGCTTTGTCAACATTTCTTCAACAGACGTTCTTTGCAGAAACCAGGACTCAGATATATGAGGAAGGGAAACCGGGCTTCCCTCATCCAGCAGGCTGCTTTTTTTCTTTTGCTGATACAAGTGAAGACAGAGCAGTCTCCTCTCTCACAGTGACCCTGCACCTTTTGTGCTATTATTAGCTATGGAAAAGAAGCAATATTGAGGAGGATTTTGGGAAGGAGGGAGGGTGACAAACTTCACTGTTGTGAATGTGGTTGTGCTTGCATATACAATAATTTAACACTTGTGCCTGAAAAGATTTCCCACCCTCATTATAACTCCACTGAAGGAGGATATAAAATTAGAAATCAGAGGGAATTGATCAACCCTCTCCATATTAGGATGTATTTCCTTGGGTTTTGCACCTCTAAATTTTGGTGTATGCTTCTTGGACAAAGCAACAACATGATGCATTGTTATGTATTATACAAGCACACTTAATTTGTATGAGAATATTAATGAATCAACTGTAGAAAGGCTCCAAGAAAAAAAAAAGCTGTCACATAAGTCAGTGAAAGAAAAGGATTTTAGGGGAAAACAGTGACAAGCTAATTTAATAGAAGCATCCTCATTCCTTACCCTAACTCTAAATCTGGTGATGGGTGGTGCCATAAGAGTGGAACTCAGAATACATAAGGCCAGTAAAAGGAAGGAGCAAGGCAGAGGTCCAGAAAGCGACGGAAACCAAAACCAACCAACCAACCAACCAAAAAACCCTGTACAAATATCCTAGGTTTTAGAAGCATGGCTTTACCCATGTAAAACAACTACAGGGATTGAAAGAACTGCTTAACACAAAATATGCTACCATTTTGAGGAAATTATTCTATTTCAAATTAAATGATCAGAAGTATCTGTCAAGCATTGGATATGAATTAACAAGTAAATATTAGATTAGGAAAATACAGAAGCAGAACTTTTGCCGAAGCCACTTCAACCAAAATAGAAAACTCAGTTCCTTTTAATATATGTATCGTTCAGATAATAAAGCTATTACTTTGCAAGCCTTAATACAGAAATGTGTTAGCTACTTGCCTTCTTAAATGGGTTGCCATGCTAACAACTCCAAAGTCTTTTGATTTTTTATTTGTAATAGATCTCTGCTTTAGTAATATGAGAGAAAAATGCAAAAGGAATTTTTGCATATAAAGCAAACTGCTCACATCAAAGACAGCCTTAACATGCTTTTGTTGCATAAAATGTATTAAGAATTTAATAAAATTCATGATTCAAAATTTATTAAAAAACAGACGGAAAGATACATATACAGTACTTTTCCCCATAATCACTTACTCACTGAAATACATGTACACTCATGAATACTGATAAATGAGAAAGCAATGAACTAGTCTTATATGATACTCAATGTTTCAAACGAAATTAAATAGTGATTTCTAAATAATAGAACACATAGAATACAAGTTTTTTGGCCATGAATGTATGCCTTATGCAAAAACCAAAATAAAAAACCACTGAAATGTCTGACAAAAAGAAAATGTTCTTGCTTAATATAATTTACTGCAATTTCAATAAATAATTTTATAAAGCTGATAACCCTCTGAAACCACTTAAGTCACTATTTTTCTTCAGAATTCAAATTCATTTGCACCGAACTTAGTGGCCCTACATTATTACTTCATAGTTTTCAGAAAGCATTACAGATAAGATTGATGTTAATTTCATATTACTCTTAATAAAATGAAGGATGAAAACCTAAAAAAAGTTAGAATGATTGCCATGATACCATTTATTTCCAACACATTTCATGCTTTGTATCCCATATAATATTTCATGCATTTCAGTAAAAGGCTCTCTGTTCAAAAGCTGTAACTTTTTCTCTCAGATCTCGATTCTCATCAAGAAATACTACCTACTGAGTAGAGATTAAATTAGAAATTTTGAAGCATTTAATCACGCTTATCCTACTTGATCTCCTGGGTTCAAATGTTTCCAGAATGGTCCATAAATCCACCATTTACTGGCAAATGCCCCATTCTCAAACTCTAAGGGCTAATCCAGCTTTTCTGTATTTTCAACAGTTTGTTGACTTTGTGGACAGGGGAAAAAAGAAACTGCATACAAAAATTTCTAGTGTGGGGGTTGATTTTTTTTAGAATGTGGCTGGTACACTGGCCCATAGACTTCACACTATACTCATCACATTTGTTTACCCAATCCACTAAAAGAGCTGTCAAAGATCTGACAATGTTTGATTTTCAACCAATTTGACTCCTCTCTCAAAACAGGCTGGTTGCTATTTTTTTTTCCTCCTGGATCCTGAGAAAAGATTGTTATGATTCAGAGCTAGCAGGAATGATGTGAGGGAGATTTATCTAAAAATGCATTATGTTATCCTTGTTTTCTTGATCACAAGTGAACACTAACAGTGTGCTGGTCATCTTTGTCCGGGACAGCACTATGCTACACATCTAGGTCTTCATTTCTTTTCAATTAGGGTTTTCAGTCAGAAAATATTAAATACATTATAAAACTGAAGGTGCATATAAGACAGCTATGAACAATAACATGTTTGTGTTTCCATTGTCAAGTGAGGGGAGGGGAATAATTTTCCAAGGAATCCTTATCCTTTTTGTAAAGCTTTGAGTAACATTCCTGAGATTTTAAATGTATATCTTCCAGTATTACTACAGGGGTGCTTAAAAGTTTGTGAACCCCTTTGAATTTTCAATATTTTTGTGTAAATATGACCTAAAATGTGATCTGTTCTCCACACAAATCCTAAAACTAGTTAAAGAGAACCCAATTAAACAAATGAGTCAAAAATTATACTGTTCACTTATTAATTGAGGAAAATGATCCAAAGCTACATATTTGTATCTTTTCTATGGATGTGCTGAGAGTCTGTTTTTATTTACACAGTGGGAAAGGATCAAGACTTTGTAATACTGTAAAGTACTTATACCTAAACAAATCTCAACATGCTTTTGGAATTCCAGATTTTACTATATGTTGGTATTTGGAATGAGAGATTTTACTATTTTTTACTTGGAGGCTTTCCACCTACCAAATATTGAATGGATACTAGCAGAAATAGAAGACAAAATTTGGGTTGAGAGGAAGATCCCAGAAAAATATTCCTGTGACATTAAAAAAAAAAAATCTTTATTGTCAGAATTTTAAAAGATTTAAAGCTAAAGTCAAATTTCTTCTGATCTTGTAATATGGCTATCATAACAGAAAATTGTAATTTATGTTTATTCGATATCTCAAATAAATAAATAAATAAAGTTGTTTGCAATTCCTGTGCTGCTGAAGATGTAATCTAAGAGTTGGAGATTTAATTCATATAGCGAATTGTTGTTTCAAATGCACACCTACGGCTGGAGACTGGGCTGATAAAAGTAGAATCAAGAATCTGT